GGAGAGGAGCTGCTGCCCCGACAAATCCACGCACCGCCGCTGCACCGTCGCACGCGCCGTTACGCCGCCCACGCGCCGCCGCTGCTGCTGCCACGCGCCGCCGTTCGTCGCTTGCTGGATCAGCTTGTTCCAGCCGTGAGTTGCAGCCCCGAGGATTGGTAATTTGCAGCTTGTACGTGATTGGTTCTAGGTTTCGATTCGTCGATATCTCACGCTACAAGAGGTAAATAAATCAATACTTTCGTAAATTAATTCGAGCATGTTTGTATGAATTATAATTTACTATTATGAGTAATATGTGATTACGTGTTTCGATTTTATTGAATGATGAACAAGCATGTTTCGTAATTTTCGGTTTTACGTGTTTTTCAATTAAATCGATAATTACCATATGTATGGCGGAAGCGTTAAGGTACGTTGACTATGTGATTAGTTTTTGCATGTAATCGAAACTAGTTCGATCTAAAAATTTTAAATTCCGCTGCGTATACATGCACGATCCCCAACACGCGATACAGTTTAGTTTCAATCAAAACGATATAACGCAGATGCAATATTCATCTTTGAAAAAACGGATTTAAGTCAAATCTCTTCAATTTTCATGAATAATTCAAACGCAAGTAATGTGTCTCTTCACAAAACAATACACCCTAATTCGAAAATATAAAATTTTCCCTTCAATTTCTTCAAAAAATCTCCCAATAACGCAACCACAATTCAATTTTTATAGAGTTTTTGCAGTTGGAACTGATTGTGATTTTGACTGTGATTCACGCAATTGGAACTTGCTTGCGATTTAGAGCCCTATATCTTCCTTTTCCGCGCATTCAGGGTTGGGTTTGTTTGATTTTGTGATGGGTTCATTCAATTTGAGGTGGGTTCGCTGATTGTGGTGATTAATTCGATTTTTATCTTAGTTGGGGTGTTTGTGCGATTTTCTGCATTGATTGGCATCGTTTGTGCAATTTTCAGCATTGGTGGGGGTTGGTTGTGCGATGTTAAGCAGTGTTGTGGGGTTTGAGTGATTTTCAGCATTGTTGGGTGGTTTGACTTTAAATTTTATTATACACACACGATAAGAAAAGAGAAAAGATAAATGATATCATAGGTTGTGGAGAAAAACGATTTGCGAAATTTTTCCAATTCGATAGTTAACTTGGCCTTAATTGTGTGAAATACAACTACAAAAGAAAATAAACTATTGCAATTAGTACCCTCCTGTTAGCTCGAATACCAAAACCTACTCTATATTATTTTATTGACAAAACCTCCATTATGATCTAAGTTTTTTAGCAATTAATACCCCTGGTTAGGGGGTTGTGTGCTAAAATAAAATTGAATAAGGGTGTTTTTGCTATAATATGGAATCGTTTTTCAGCCATTTGAACACTCCATAAGCAAGTTATAAACCTACACAATAAAATTGAACATTCAGTGCTCTAATACCTGCAACTTGTACCAACCAAGCAATTTCTATTTTCATGTTTTTTTCAAACAGTTGTAGACTCGCGCAAACATGTAACAATCTTTCGTCCGCCACATTGTCAAGTAACCTAATTAACTATGAGGACAATGTAAAACCCGTATACTAAATTCATCAGCTTCACATATTATATTACACATTAGAGTATATACTATGTATACCACCATGGCACCATCATTCATCCAAATCTGTCACATACCAAACGAACTAAAAGGGCATATTCTGCTATTACCAATAAATAAATTATTATACAAACACAGTTTCAGCAATCAAATACATCTTGAGCACACGATTAGCACTGGAATCTTCATATATATGCTTAGATGCTATAAAATTATAACCCATTGTCCGTTTATATATAAAGATACGGTCAACTAAATACATGTATGTATATGGAAATATACTCCATGTATGTATGTCTAGAAAATGAGGTGATAATTGTCCATGGATAAATTCATAACAATACCTCGTGAAATGAGAACATATTGAATTATTTTTCCTAAGAAACTGTAAGGAATTCAAATGGTAGCATGTTAAGAGCATCTCTAAAACGTCAACGAAGATCATATCGAATAATGATATCATAACTTCGAGTTTTATGTTAAACTGGAATATTGACCTCCATGCTTATGCTATCATATAAATCTGACTACAAATTAAAATAGTAAACACGATTTCACTAGTTCAGATTTATAGTGTACATTAATAGGACTTAATAAAAACACTAAAGACTCCCTCTTTATGTAATATGCCGTTCTTGCACACAACTCGAACTTCGTGTTTCTTCTAACAGCTGCTCCACACCGCGTGCCTAGAACTCCTTTCTGGCCTGAACTCCCTTCAGTGACGCGGTTGATCTCTCAAGAGATCTATACAGCAAATCTGTATATGTTGACACATCCAACGATGGCACAGTTCTGTTCAGCATAACGTTTCAGTGATTCTTCAAAGCTATGGAGTGATTTTTCTCCCAACAAAAGTGTCACGGTCTTTGTGAGGTGAGGAGCCTTATATAGGCGTGAGATCGGCCTCCAAAGACCTGTCTTCCAAAGGAACCGAATAACTAGGAAACAGAATCCTAGTCAATATCTAGTTTTAATCTAGATAACTATAAAAGATTCCTAACAAGGGTAAAGTACAAGGAAATAAATCTAAGTCCTAAAGTATTACAAAGGTAGGACTCTAAATTTCCAAAATAAACATGGGAACAAATCTTTAGCCAATCTTTACTTCCCAAGTGAGGCGGATTTCTTCCTTGATGGAAATCTGGCGCCAACACACCTCATTTTTTTCTCAGCAACCAAACAAACAGTTAAATAATCCAAAAAAGCCTGCATAATCCAAAAAAAAATGTCACAATAAAACAAAATTGTAGAAAATTAAATGAGCGAGGGAATCTAAACATACCATGTTAGAATCATCATATCCATTCACCTGGATTTCGGATTTCCCCGTGGGCCATACTTAACTTTGGAAAATTTGAGTCCAAATTCATACAAAGACTGGAATCATTAGAAATACCAACAATATCACTAAGATGAAAGATAGTATCAAAAGATTTATAAAAATAGCGTTCCGCAACGATAGAATATTTTTCCCGTCAATTGGGGTAAAAATCGAAACTGAACAAAATGTGCCATCGTGAAAAAAAAAAAAAAATCATAAATCATACGCCGTGCCGCTGCTATCAATTGTCGGCGTGAAGAAAACAGGAAGAAAGAAGACTTTTCAATTGTTCAATTTCTCAACGGCTGCAACACAAAACATAGAGAAAACAATAATTAGATAAATAATCAAATAACTGCTTCAGCTTCTATCTCTATTAATATATTTCTTTCCTATCAAATAAAAATAAAAAAATAAATAAAAGCCTGCATAGCTACAAATCCAAATTCCAAGGATCCCATGTAAGTCGCAAACAAAAATCCATTTTACACCCCCAAATCCAACAATTATTATAAATGTTTACAGTAATTATATAAATGTTTACAGCGAGTCAGCGAAAAGGGAAGCAATGAGTTGAATATGTTCATTTTTTCGATAGTTTGTGAGAGTGATATTTGCTAGACCATCAATACGTGAAAGGAAGTTAAAAAGGAATTAAAAAAGAAACATCAACTGCTGGCTGCTGCAGTTACTGATCGTGTATTCAGTTTTTTTAAAGAGGTCCTGTATTCAGTTTTTTTTAAGAGTGGACAGTAATTGTTATTGGATAATGGTAAACATTTGAAAAAATCAGATCATGTATTTAGTGTTTTAAGTAGTGGACAGGTAATTAAATTATTAACTTACGTGTATAAAATATTAAAAATTAAAAGGAAAAAAAATGTCAAAATAGGAAATGACTTAAATGTCCCTAAATTTAGGTTTAGGGTTATAGGTCAAAATATCTTCCTTTTATATATAAGATGGACTCGACAATAGCAGTCTGATCTTTCTCATTTTGCGTTGAACCCACAACCAACCATATAGGTGTACTGACTATTGAGTAAACTTACACTGTTGTATAATAGCATGCAAATCATTCGAGTAACATAAACAACCAACCATATAGATGCACTGGGTAAATCTACACTCTCGTATAATAACTTGCAAACCATACGAGAGAGGTAAACCACACTAGGCTAACCATGTGTGACAAGCTCCACCTAGCGGCCGTTGGCAAGGGGATTTGAACCTAGGTCAATTGACAAAGGCTCTCTTGCTCCAACCGCTAGGCCATCCCTTGTGGGACAATTTACGCAATTAATTGTAAATAGTATGTAAGTAATTTGCTTAATCGTATTTTGGAATATAACTTTAAAGGATTTAATTTCTATTATTTTAATTTAGATATGTATTTATTTTTTGCGGAAAATCCTTTTAAAGAAATCGGTGGCGTTGACTCCGAATCTCCGTGTAACCTACCCTAATTAGAAATCCTGCCTCCCGCACTGCATATAACTTAATGATACTTTTTGCCGCTACTAACATTTAACGTTATGCCCTCAAAAAAATATTTAGCATCGAGGACCTAGATTGTTTTCCAATGAATGAGGTATGTAAATTTACTACCATTTGCCTATTATGCAACACTCATAACAATTCCAAGATTTTTTTTGTCATATGTTTTTACAAAAATGAAATAAAAATGACCAACATCACTATATGCATCAATATGAACATACCTTACACAAACAATTTCCTATCATAGAGATGCCCTTCCAATTTTTTCAGTAGGTTGACATAAATTTAAAATTCCTCATCAAGGTTTTTGTAAAATTCAACCTACTAAAAATTTATCAGCAAAAGTGGATAAAAATTAACACCTATTTATTTCATTTCCATTAAATATAAGGTAGAATCACCAAAAAAATAACAATGAAGAGCAAAACCATTGTTATATATACCGAGTTTCTATCCATGTGAGCACACCATTTCTGAGCAAATAACCATTCTTCGATTTTCGACAATGAATCCGACCAATAACTCCCAACCAAAAAAACACAAGGGTCGTCGAAAGGTTAACATGGAAAAAATGGAGAACGAAAGTAACCTCCAGGTCACCTTCTCAAAAAGGCGTGTGGGCCTATTCAAGAAAGCTAGTGAGCTCTGCACTCTCACCGGCTCCAAGGCGGCGGTTGTCGTTTTCTCCCCTGGCGGCAAGGCCCACTCATTCGGCCATCCAGACGTCAATACTATTGCCGATCAGTACCTCAACCCTAACTCTCAATCTGGAAATAATAATGCCCAACATAGCTCGGTTCCGATTGAGGGTCAAGAATATCTGGCTCAGCATGGCCAATTCTTGACCCTGAATTCTCGACCAGCTGGCAATCATGCTGCTGCTCAATCGAACCATGTCCAACAGAGTTCAACTCTAACCAAGGATCAACAGTATCTGGCTCTGGTCGAGAGCCAGATACGAGCTGAGAAGGCCCGTGGAGAAGAGATGGACAGGATCAGAAAGGCTTCCCTTGACAAGCTCAACTACCAACAACTCGAGCATTTGAGAGGGGCGATTATGGAATTCAGCAAGAAACTTGAAATCCAAGTGGATAAGGGTGTGAATTCAACGATGGGGTGCGATGTTGTTCGTGGAACGTATCCCGGTCAAGATTTTGGTGCTTCTTCTTCTTCTCATGGTAATGTGGTTCCTTATACGACTGTGATTCCATATGATCAAGGGGCAACAAGTGGTGATGCTGAAGAGTTCAATAATGGCTATGGACATCGGAATTTCTGAAAATGTTATTGTTTTGAATTATTTTATGTTTTTATTATTGCAATTTCTTGTTCTTTGTGGTTTTTATTAGCAAGATACATGTTTTATCGTTTAAGAATCTAAATTGGAGTGCGACCCTTTAAGCTGCTTTTCATGATAACAAGAACATATATGTTGTCCCACAAGAGATGTCTAGCGGTTGGAGCAAGTAAGCATGTCAATTGACCCAGACTCGAATTCCCTTGCCAACGGTCGCTATGTGGAGTTTGTCACACATGACTAGCTTAAGTGGCGTGAACCGGGTATACAAGAAAGATTATTGGCCTTGAGATGTTGGTGGAGGACGTCGATCTTTTCGTCGTCTTGGATCTGTTAGAGTAGGTGACCAACAAGCCAACTTGTGGCTGTGGTCTTTCGTATTTATTATTGTAATAAACGAACCTTTATTCGTATTAATGATAAAACATCTTGGCATTCTATATCTTTGTCCCTTTATCACAAGCATAGATATAGTCCTTACAGTTATTACAAGTACTAGTAATTGATCGTTAGGATCGTGAGATATTTACTCAAGTATTATAACTATTAAACGTGTTCCTAGTCGAAGGGTTACGCCACTAATGAGGATATCGGCCTTTCCCATTAAGACTAGCACTTAGTGTATGTGTACTGCATCTCATCAGTAAACGGTATTGTGATATCGGCATGCATAAGTGGGTGCTCGTAAGTTGACGAGTTCACTGAACTCCCTCACCCTAGAAATCTCTAAGTGGTTCCCAATAATCGAGTAGAGATATCTATGGTATAGTTGTACACCATTAGTCCTTATGACCTAGACATCACCGTGACTTCACTAGAGGACCAGCTGTATCGTGACCTGTCCTTGAGTTCCACCGAGGACCATCCCAAGGGCCAGTGTTCGTGCAGTCCGAAATCTAGTGGGAGGTCTGTGCATTGTAGTCGGGGATTCGATCGCTAGAATAGTCTTGGATGTCCTGTGTGTTCTGAAAGTTTGTAATCCTTCTAAGTCTCTGGCCAGAGCTGACTAAGTGATGATTAGAGGATTCGATTCTCTAAGTCATGCACGTAAGGATTACAACACTTGGAACGATCGCACCGTCATCGAACATATAAAGAGGTCTCGATGAACCAATGCCTCTAGTTCGATCGGGACATATGTATCGAAGGGACCGTACTGTACGTTAACTATATCTGAAGGTTCTTGCAGGCACTTCATTTGTATCTAGGGAATCATGGCGCGTAGTTGCTAGACGCCAATCTTGATTCGTTGGGTGATTAAGGTGAAACGAGCTTCGCCTTAATCGTAACTCTAAGGGACGAGTTTTGACCACAAAGAGTTGTGGGCCCACGGCTAGCTTACACCTGAACCATCGAGGGTCGCACTGCTCGTGCACATGAGATCTTTGAATTAACGGTCAGAGATAAAATAGTTTATCTTTGCATGATTGGAAGTCAATATGATTGAGTCCAACATTCGTAATTTGGAATTATGAATGAGAATAAGAAAAGGAAAAGAATAGGCGAACGTATTAGTGAACTTTCTAAATCGGGAAGTTTCCAAATTTAGAAAGTGCACTGAACTAGGGTTTCCACTTTTGGAAAGTTGGAAAATGAGAGATGGCACTCGTAATGACGAGGAAGTTATAATGAATCCGAAAATGTAATCGTTGCAATTTTTCGGTCATTGAATTAAGAGAGACGAGCAAGTAAAGATACTAACGGACTTAAGCTGTTGGGCCCGGTCCAACTTAAGCCCGCTAGGGTTTTATGCAAGACATATAAATACTTGATTTATAGGTCTTGCACAAACACACAACACAACCCTAACCCTAGCCGTCCACCCCTCTCTCTCGGCTTCTCTCTCCCACGGCCAACACCGCCGCCCACTCCGCCGTTTCGCCAGAATCGGCCGTTGATCGGCCGATTGGCTTGGTAGTCTTTTTCCTTCTCTTTTTCTTCCGTTTTTCTAACTATTACGTGTCTAGTGCCACGTGTTTAGTAGATCGAAGTATACGAGGTGAAATCCAAGAGGAGGAAGATCGAAGATCGAGGAATCGAAGAGCAGCGCACGAGCCGAAGCCGCACGCTGCCCCACGCGCCGCCCCGGAAGACCGCGCGTGTAACTCACGCGCCGCCGTGGCCGATTTGCTGCTGCTGCCGCTGCACCGCTGCTGCCCCGATTGTACGGATTGGTTTCCGTAGCAATCTCGACTTGCTAAACGCTCCTACCTCACGCTTCAAGAGGTAAATACACGAAACCCTAGTTTCGATTCGTTTATGTTTAAACTATGAATTCATGTTTGCTATCGTATGATTTTATGTGGTTATGTGTAATCGTTTTAATCTTTGCAAGCATGTTAATTGGTTTAAACGCGAGCATGTTAATTGATTTAAATTCGGTTAAATTATTTAGCATGTATGTTGTTTTTAATTTCGCTGGAAGCGCAAAGGTACGCAATGAATTGATTTAATTGTTCGGGCATGTACTTGTGTGCTTTAAACTCGTTTAAATCGCATTAAATTTTTGTTTTCCGCTGCGTATGCGTGCCCGAAACCCAACAGTGGTATCAGAGCTCGTTGCGTAATTAATTGCGTTATATAATATGCTATGATTTTATGCATGTTCGATTTATTAAAGTAGTAATTGTTGTGTTATGTAATTGGGAGTTTTCGTAAGTTTAAAATATTTTTGAAATATTGTTTAGAATTTTTCCAGCTTTAAAATTGTTTAAAATTGGAAAATCTGATCTGAAATTATTTTAAAACGCCGGTTTTTTAATTGTTCGGATCGAACCGGTCAAACCGGCCGGTTCGATGGTTGTGTGCGATTTAGTTGACCGAATCCACGTGGATTCGGGTCGGTCAGACCGGTTCCCGGTCCGACTGACCCGACCCACTGATTTGGGTCAGCAGGACCGGACAGAACCGGACCGCTTCGGTCCGAACCGGTCAGACCGGTTGGGCCGAACCAGTTCACTGAAAATAAAAAAAAAAAAAAAAAAAATTATTTCAGATTTCTAAAATTAAACTTAAAACAAATTGATTTTAATTTTTGGAAAATTATTTTCAATTAATCCCAATTAGATAATTGGATAGACAATCATCTATTTTAGTAAATAAGTGTTGGATTAATTAATTAATTTAAATTGTGAAATTGATTTCAATTAATAGAACACATATATAATATTGATTATAGTTCAACTCAATTAGTAGTACCTCAACATTATTTGAATGATTTATGCTAGTTGAGGTTCTATAATTATTTTGAAAACCCGATAATTAATTAATGTAATTAATTATGAAATTAGGTCGTATGTTCCTCTTAGGACAATATGCGTTTCCATATACCTTTAGAGAACATAGAAGTAGGAATCACATAGACCAATCCAAAACCTTCTGATGAGATAAAACATTTTAATAAAAATCCCTCATTCTTAATTTAATTAAGAATCATTTCAAGCTATAAAGAAAAACCCAATCTGTTGAGTTATTTCTTTCCTTCTGCCAACGGTTGGATTATGTGTAGCCCTTTGCTGTAGTGCAGTAAGCCGTATTAGCGGGGAGTGCTATGGTAGAGTAAGCTGTAATTCAATTGACATATCGATGAAGGTAGCCATAGAAAAGGGTTATGTTGGATTAACGTGGTCGGCTAGATTAACTAGGGACTGCATTAGTTTGGCATAATCAAGTTCTATGAGCATCTTTGATTGGTAGGTTAGACTTGACACACGACGATTTTGATATTCGCGAGATTAACTTAGGTCATTATCAACTGTGAGGAAAATTAATTTAGGGTCATATTGTGGATATGATTGATTGTGATCTACCTTTGGGCAAATATAATCGGGCTAGATTAACTACGGGTTATATTTGTCTATTGGACCTAAAGCCCATTAAGAAAAATCAGTTTTCTCGTTTGTCTACTAGAGGGAAGTGGAACTCGATAAAATTAGTGGGAGAACAATTAAATAACATAAGTCCAAACATTTAATTGTAACAATCATTTAACGCGAATCTCTAATAATCCTCTTCTCTATATGTCTCAGATAATCATGTCTAAGAATCCCATAATGTCAATCCTCGACAATAAACTCAATGGCCCAAATTACCTAGATTGGTTGCGTAGTCTTAAGCTTGTGCTAACTGTTGAGGGGCGTCTCTATGTTTTGAACGAGAGACTTCCCGCCACTATACCTGCCACAGCGACTGATGCTGAAAAGGAAACTTATGAAGTTTGGAAGAAAGATGACACTGATGCTAGGTGCTATATGATAGCCGCCATGGAGCCCGCGCTTGCGAGGAAATATGAGTCTCACTTGCATGCTTTCGATATAAAGGCTCATCTCGATAGCATGTATAGTGAGAATATTAGGGCTTCGAGGTACGCTGCTACAAAGGAGTTGATCACAGCGAGACTGCGCGAAGGGACTTCGGTCCACGAGCACTGTCTCAAAATGATCACTCTCCTTGAAAAGCTAGTGAATCTTGATGTCACCCTCCCGGCCGAGCTCTCGTTGGATTTGATCCTGTTGTCTCTTCCTAGTTCCTATGAATCGTTCATTGTGAACTTCAACATGAACAAACTAGATCCTCCCTTGGATGAGTTAATGAACATGTTGGTCAGCTTCGAGTCCACCATTAAGAAAGAGAAGTCTGTTCCCATTGCTGCTACTTCTGGAAAGAAGAGTTCTTTCCAAAAGAAGAGAAAGGAAAGAGTTCCCTTCCCAAACAGCAAGTTCGAAGTGGGTGAAGGTAGTGGGGGCCCCAAAGCAAAGGTTAGCAAGCAAGTTGATGATGCTTGCCATCACTGTGGAAGGAAAGGACATTGGCGCCGCAACTGCAAGGCTTACCTAAAGCAGAAAGGTTCTGAAAAGGGTACGTATTTCATTGACGTAAATTTGTCTGTTAACTCTTCTTCTTGGGTATTGGATACGGGCTGTGGCTCACATTTGTGCAATGATTTGCAGCTAATGACAAGAAGTCGAAGACTTAGAGCGGGT